GTCTGTCTGCGGACACATAGTTGTAGTGTGACAACGCCTCAGATTTTGCTATTTTTTTCAGCAACATAGTATACTGTTTGCAGAGGCTGAGAGTTCAAAGAAAAATGCCTATACTCCCCTGAAATAAACTGGACTGAACACCACATGCCTTCAGCAAACGTATGCGAAATTCGATTTTCGGTATCCGAAGGGATGGGAATGCAGGATTGGACAGGGCATGACGGAAAGCGCAAGCATAGTGTACAAAAGATAAACAATTCTGGCACTTGGTAAGCGAATGAAAAGACCCCTAAGACCAGTGCGGATAGTTCCGAATTCTTGTGTCAATATTGTGCTTGGGCACCGGATTACCCGAATTCCCATAAACGTGCTGACAAAGGAGAAAAAGTATTAACTTTGTAAAACTGATAGTATCCATGTCTTTGATCCTGCGTTTTGACAGCAAGGCATATGTAACTTAATTTTTATAAGCCGTTTAATCAGCAAACAGACCTCAGAGGCAGAGAGAACTGAGAAGATGGAGTCATTCACGTCGGCCAGAGTGAAGACAAAGGGCCGCAAATACGGCTGACCGATTGGCTCTGGGCAGTTCTCCTGCGGAAGAAAACAAAGTCTTCATTTAAAAAAGTTTCAGAAAAGCATAAATGTGAGAAGTGCATGCGTCTTCTTCGAGAATTTATGGTTAACTGGTACTTCCTGTTTCCGCGGAACAAGGGACCGATGCGGCTGTTTGGTCCAGGTTCATTCTATTGCTGCGTTGATACGCCCGCCAAAGAAACCCAACATATATACAAGGACACGCCTTGGTAATTAGAATGGAGCATCAATATTATGAATCCGACAAGCGAGATCGTTGCTATGAGCCTTAGTTGGTGTGAGTAAGAATAAAGATTAAAAAGAACTGGCTAATTTCAACCAGTCTTCCGTTTTACAGAATACGGTACCCGGTACTCGAGAGCTAGCTTCGATTCGTAAAGGAAGGTGCTGAAGAAAAATACCAGAACACTCTTATGCTGGAATAAGTTTTAACAAGGCAAAGGCGGCGAAATGGGCAAAATTTATTGACATCACAAAATTTCGTGATCCCTTAATTAAGTGCCCACGGTTATAGGATATTAGTAAGATTAACTACTGGATAAGGAAACAGCCCAGAGGGATCAAACGTAATAGGTAAATAAAAACAGGAAATAGTGAGCTGACGTGCGGCTGGGCATGTCATGAGAGAGAGAAATTCTATAGGTGGACGGATTTGGATACAATCGAAGGCCCGTGAAGCGTGTACAGCATGGAACACTAGTCAGCCATGTT